GGTCTTTCAGAAGGTTCGTGATAAGTATGAGGACGTGAGCGTCAATCTGCCTCCATTAGAATGGGTTGGTATACGGCGTGCTCATGATGAAGGACGTGTACCATCACGGTTTACCACAATCATGACGTTTCGCAGTGGCGCCTGATATAGGCTCCGATCATGACAGGCAAGGCAGACGACGATCCTGCAGATGCCGAACTCCAAGGCATGTATTGGAGTCTGCTTGGTGGAATAGCGTGGTTGACCTTGACTCGAGCTGATCTTGCAGTCTTTGTTGGCAGATTTCAGAGGCGCAGTCAGAATGTGATCGTCGAAGGCGCCAGGGAGTTGAATGCGCTTTTGAGATGGATCAAAGGGGAAGCCCTTCTGTATCAGTTATTCAACGTTGGCGCCGCCAGTTGCGTGTGCGTGATTGCTGGCTCCGCCTATCGTTCTGCTGATGATGACTGCCTGGCGTTGCGAGCGGCGATTCTTGTGGTGGTAGAAGTTCGAGATGACGTTCCTGAAGGCCATATGCATGTGATCGACTATTACAGTGGGAAACAATCCCGGGTGACGCGCAGTACAGTCGGTGCGGAGTTGACCAACCATTTGGAAGCTTCGGAGACGGGCATGACGTATCGTTGGTTTCGGTATCAGGTGCTCGCAGGAGTTCGAGGTGCTCATCAACTGCGTCAGGCCGTGAACTCAGCTGCGATCCCGATTAGTCCCTACGTGGTTGGCAACGCTCATGCTGTGTTCGATGCGATAGCGGCGAAGAAGAGCACGGCCCCAAACGACAAGAGTCAGCTTTACGCGGTCAGTGCTATGAGAGATTGTTTGGACTGCGGTGCAGTGACTTGTTTGTTGAGATGCGACACGCGAGATATTCTATGTGATGCTTTTACGAATGGATCGATTGCAAGGACAGAGATAGTGGAAGCATGTGGCTGAGGTTACTGGAAGATGCAGATATCAGATCAGATACACTCTTGGCCGGTCAGAAAATGATGAGAGTGTTGCGCGTTCAGGAACATTTCGTCGGCACAGGTGTCCGGAATTTGTCACGTGCGGCTCGAGAGGATCTAAGGTGTTTGAACTGTGTCTGGCTGGTGGTGGTTCAATGCCTTGCGTGTCTTGAATGGTGTCTGTGTGCTAGGTGATTCTGTTGAGATGCATCGAAGAGGGTATGATATGGTGCCGTGGGCAACCTCAGCTTGACTGGCGTCTGTGCTGTGGAGAAGGTGCCAGAGTTGAAGAACAGGTCGGTCGTCTCTCCTCTGACCCGCCCTGCCGTGCGCCGCCCGTCGCGGCCGCCCGGCTCGAGGCGGCCAGCCGGACAGGACTGTGCGCGCGGTCTGCGCGCGTGGTGCGATAAAGGAAGCCTCTCTGTCAGTTCAGGGCTTCGCCTGAATCCGCGCGTTCGACTTCCCCCCCCCCCCCCGCGCCTTCTTCCGGTTTCTCCCCTTCCTGCCCTGCGATCGACCGATCTCGCATCCACGCCGCCAACGAGCGTAGAGGGGCCCCGCTGCTCATGTGCGCGCGGGGCCCACGGGGCCCACGGGGCCCGCGGGGGCGAGCGCGGTTCACGGGCGTCCTGCGGCGAACATGGCCGGTGACGACCATAGTGCCTATGAGGCTCGTGGGGCGAATGGGGCTCATGAGGTCCCAGCGGCCCGTCTTTTTCGTGGATCTCATAAGTCTTGCACGGCCGATCGGCCTCACGGGGCTCTTTGGGCCCATTGGCCCCATTTGGGCGCGCGCGAACGTGGCGTGAGTGTCGTGAGGAGCAATGCCTCGTAGGGCTCGCGCGGCCAGTCGGCCTTATGTGGCTCGCTCGACAAAGAGGCCCCGCAGGATTCTGATGGCCCATCGGCCTCCCAGGGTGTGCTGCCCATGCCGCATTGGCCTCATGATGGGGCCAGGCTTCATAGGGCTCGCAGGGCCCATCGGGCTCATCAGGCCGATCGGCTTCATCGGGCTGATAGAGCCAGTCTGTTTATTTGGGCTCATAGTGGCCATCGGCTTCATGAGGCTCGCAGGGCCCATCGGTCGCATTGTGCCCGTCATGGCAGACGCGGGTAATGGGCTTTGCGGGGCTCGCAGGGCTCACCGGCATGAGGGTCCTGGGGCCATGGGGCCCATGCAGCCCATCGGGCTCCTAGGGCTCGCGGAACTCTTGCGTGCGATCGACCTCGTGGGAAAGATAGGGCCCGTCGGCTTCTCGCGCGGGCTTCAAGCAGCCCAGGGGGCATGCAGAGCGCAGCCTGCAATGCTCGCGGGGCTATCCTGCCTCGTCGGGTTCATGGGGCCCACCGGCCTCCCGGGGCACGCGGGGCCGATCGGCCTCGCTGGGGTGTGCGTGTGGGGGGTGGGGGGTGGGGGGGGGGCAGAAGCAGCAGAAGGAGGGGCAGGGACAGGGGCAAGAAGAGGGGGGCGGACTTGACCTCTTCCCGAAGTTCCTATTTGTCCGAGGGGCAGAGATGCGATCGACCGCTTTCTGAGCCCCGTGCGTGTCAGCACCTTCTCCTACCTCGATCTCCCACGTCGTGATTTGTTCAATGCTGGCGTTTGTTTCACAGAGAGCTCTCCAGAGGGCGTATTGTTTTCCTCTCGCGCTGTGCCGCGCCCAGTAGCGGGCGCACTCCAGCCTCTCTCGCGCCCTCCGCGATGCCCTGGAAGTGATTCGCCCCCCAAGACTGCGAAATTTACATCGCGCTACGAGCGAATGCGCGGCCTTTTACGAGGAGGGCGCAAGACAGTTCATGTTCAAGTGTCTTACTGCCTGCTTTGTTTTCCTCTTTGAGAGCGTTGATTGCCGCGCGTTGGTCAGCGGCGAGGTCGCCCCTGCGTGCTTCAAGGTCCAGTCGGTGCAGCGCCTCCTCCGCGCCCCCGCGGGGGCACTGGGCTCCGCGAGTGGCGTCGCAAAGGGGTCGCTGAATATAGATTGGGGGGTGGCGGGGGCTGGCGATGTCGTGGCCGGGCAAGCGCGGGGCAGGCGCGCGAGCTGGCGGCTTGGGCCCTGCGCGGCGCCGGGCGCGAGGACGTGGCCGACTCCATTCGTGTGGCCAGGCGGGCGCGAGCGAACGGGGGTGGCCGTGGCGCCCTCGGTAGAGCTTCCTGTGCACTTGGCTGTTCTGCCCGAGGGTCGGGGCGGAAGTCGTCGGCTTTAATGGCGGCGGCATTTCGGCGGCTTCGACATTCTAGGAGGCGTCCGCGACGGCCGCGGGCCAGGGGCCCGTGCCGTCTCGCCCCGCTTGGGGCCGCAAGCCGGCAAGCGGGGCACTTGCGTTGCATTGGCTCTGCGCAAGTGCCGGATGGGGGCCCGAGCAATTGTGGCGCAAGTTAGTGTGTGTGTGCGCGTGTGTGCGTGTGTGTGCGCGTGTCTGTGTGCGCGGCGTCCAGGGGCGGCGCCTCTGCGGGGTCTGTGTCCTGCGCCGCGGGGCGTCGCGCGCCGGGTCGCTTGTTTCCCCGGGCGTGACGCGTGCGGATGCGCCGTCGCCGTTGAAGCGCGGCGCTGGCACCGCCGCGCGCCGCCGAGTGGTGGGCCCGCGCATTTCGCCGGGGCAGGGCCGATGAAGGTCTCAGGTCGCAGGGCCCTGCGGCCGTGCCCGCGCGGGGCGGGTGGCGCAGCGTGGCAGCCTGGGCGCGCGCGTCGGCCAGGGTCATGAACGAGGCGATGGCAGCGGAAGAAGCTATCGGGCACTCGGACACTACCAAAGGGGAGGAGCACTAATTAAGGGTGTCGGGCAGCTCCGACTTTGCGCGAGAGGGCCTCAGCGGTGCCGCGCGCACGACGCATGCGTTGGGATGCGGTGTGCGAGGCTAAGGGGGGGGTGGCTGGCACGGCGTGCTGCGGCTGCGCGTGCAATGGGTCGGCGTGGGGGGTGCGCCTCGGGGTCGCCCTGCGCCGTGGGCCCGACCGCCCTGTTCGCCGCGCCAAGGCGTCTGCGCCCTGTGCCAGCGCGGCGCTGCGCCGAGAAAATTCATAAATCCTGTGCATCAGCGGTTTGGCAGGCGTGCAAATTCTTGGTGCCGCCCCGCCTTCGGCTACCTTCATGCCTCTGTCACTCAATCGCTCCTTCGCACCTCCGCGCCATGCGCTCTTGCGTGCCGCGCCGCTGCTCGTCGTCGATGCTGTCCCTCGTCCGTTGGATTCGAGTCTCGGGTGGGCCGCCATGCCTCTCGGCGGCAGCCCGCGCCCGCCGTCCACCCAGGTCCGTGGCGGGATAGCAGGTGACGGCCGCAGGGCAGGCGGCCCCCTGCGGGGGCCCAGGGGCCCGCGGGGGCCAGGGGCAGGCGGCCCCTGAGGGGGCCCGTGGGCTTGCGGCCGTGGTAATGCACCCCGTGGCAGGCCCCCGCGGGGGCCCATGCGCCTGCAGGGTTTTCTTCCCCCGCCCTATTCGCCATTTGGCCTTTCGGTTTTCTTTGGGGGGGCTTTGCGTGGGGGTTGTGGTGCAGCGCGGGCGGCCAGGCAGCTGGGTCAGGTCGGCGTGCGGGATGCACCGTGGGGTCGCCCTACGCCACGAACCTGACCGTCCTGCCCGCCGTGCCAAAACGTCAGCGCCATTTACCGGCGCGGTGTCCCCCGAGGGGAATTATGTCGGATCTTCGATCGAGGATCGATTTTCCTTGGTCGATCCTCGGACGCAGGCCTGAAAATTTTCAAACGCTTACAAGTATTGTCGACAGCCAGGTTCCACACGTCAAAGGTCTTCAGCGGCGCAAGCTTCGCAACAGTTCAATCCAAACACATTCCAAGCGCCTGCTTCAACCCGGCGGCGGCGGTGCCCTGGCGGCGACGTCGACGGCGTCGGCAGCTGCACGGTCGTCGTCGATGACGTCGTCGTCGTCTATTGCGTGTGCTTCGTCAAGATCGTCGTCGTCGTCGTCGTCGTCGTCGTCTTCGTTGTCGTCGTGTGCGCCGTGTGCGTCGCGTGCTGCGTCGTCGCTGTCGCCGTCCGCCCCGTCGCCGCTTGCCCCGACGATGACGAGCCGACGGCGACGAAGCAGAGCCGCAGGCCCCCGGCGAGCTGCCTCAAGGAAGCCTCCGGGAAGGCCTCCTCGACGGGCTGCCTTCGGGCGGCCTCGCTGAGCTGCTGGAGGGCCTCAAGGAGGGCTGGCCCTCGCCGTCGTCGTCGGTTCGTCGTCGGTCCGCTCGCCGTCGGCACGTCGTCGGCTCGTGAACTGTTCGTCGTCGGCGCCGCAGTCGTCGTCGTCGTCGTCGTCGTCGACGTCGCCGTCGCCGTCGTCGTCGTCGTCGTCGTCGTCGTCGTCGTCGTCGTCGTCGTCGTCGTCATCGTCGACATCGTCTTCCGTCGTCGTAGTCGTCCTCCGTCGTCGTCGTCGCCGAAGTCGTCGTCGTCGTCGTCGTCGTCGTCGTCGTCGTCGTCGTCGTCGTCGTCGTCGTCGTCGTCGTCGTCGTCGTCGTCGTCCGTCCGTCGTCGTCGTCGTCGTCGTCGTCGTCGTCGTCGTCGTCGTCGTCATCGTCGACATCGTCTTCCGTCGTCGTAGTCGTCCTCCGTCGTCGTCGTCGCCGAAGTCGTCGTCGTCGTCGTCGTCGTCGTCGTCGTCGTCGTCGTCGTCGTCGTCGTCGTCGTCGTCGTCGTCGTCGTCGTCGTCGTCGTCCTCCGCCGTCGTCGTCGTCGTCGTCGTCGTCGTCGTCGTCGTCGTCGTCGTCGTCGTTGGTGGCGGCGGCGGCGGTGGCGGCGGACTCTCCTGCTCTTCCTTTTCAGCCTCCTCCTCGTCTTGTTTTTACCATTCGTTCTTATGATGGCCGCGGTTCGGTTCGGTTCGGGCCTGTTCGGCGCGCTTTCGTGTCGGTTCGGCCGGTCCGATTCAGATCGCCGTCCGGTTCGGTTCATCCGGTTGGGTTCGGCCGGTTCGGTTCGGCCGGTCCGGTTCGGCCAGGGGGGTTTGGTTCGGCCTCTGGGGCCTCTGGCGGCTCCAGGGGCCTCTGGGGGCCTCTGGGGGCTCTGGTGGTCCTGGGGGCTCTGGGGGCTCTGGGGGCTTTGGGGGCTCTGGGGGCTCTGGGGGCCTCTGGGGGCTTCCGGGGGCTCTGCGGGCTCTGGGGGCTCTGGGGGTTCTGGGCGGTCTGGAAGCTGTGGGGGCTCTGGGGGCCCTGGGGGGTCCGGGGACCTTTGGGGGCTCCGGGAACTCCGGGGGCTTTGGGGGCCTCTGGGGGGCTCTGGGGGCCTGTGGGGGCCCCGGGGGGCTCGGAGGGTTCTGCGGGCTTCTGGGGGCTTTGGGGGCTCTGGGGTCTCTGGGAGCTCTGGGGGCTCTGGAGCCGCTGGCAGCCCTGGGGGCCTCTGGGGGCTCGGGGGTCTCTGGAGGGTCGTGGGGGCCTGTGGGGGCCTCTGGGGGGTTCTTGGGGTCCTGGGGGCTCTGGGAGCGCTGGGGGCTCTGGGGGCTCTGGGGGCTCTGGGGCCTCGGGGGGCTCTGGGGGCTCTGGGGGCCTCTGGGGGCTCTCGGGGTTCTGGGGGCTCTGGGAGCTCTGGAGGCTCTGGGGGCTCTGGGGGCCTCTGGGGGCCTCTGGGGGCTCGGGGGGTCTCTGGGGGGTCCTGGGGGCCCCTCGTTCTCGCTGGAGCATCCTCGTCGTCGATCGTCTCGTGGTCGAGGTTCGTCCCAGCTCGAACTCCGTCGCTATGCCGAAACCGCTATCGCTCCCGCCGCCCCGCTGCTGCTGCTGAGGGGAGGAGGAGCGCACCTTTCACAGCTCGAGCCCAAGCGCCGGCGCTGCACGCACGCGTGTCAGTTACTTGTCTCTTCCTACTTCTCTCTTGTTTCTCTAGAGTTCTCCTCCAGAAATCTCCAGAAGTCACACTCATACTACTTTCTCTAACTAAGTGTGGCTCGCGGCAGGCGGGCGCTGGGCACAGCCCTCAGTACAACAGCAAAAGGCAGGCGTCGTCGCAAACAACGTCGCACCTGTGCTGATCGCCAAAATGGCGTTGTAGTCGTCCCCGCCGTGGTGGTATATCACGCATCTGCCGAGCTCGCTCCTTTACTGGACTCTCCGGCCTCCTTCGTCATCTTGTCGTCTATGTCACGGAGGCGAATGGCCTTCATCTCGGCTTTGATCTCCTTCTCCATGCTGGTGCGCAAGGTCTTCTCCATCTCGCGATACTCTTTCTCCTGTCTCCACCACGGCGTGTCTTTGTCCACTAGCAGCATGCCACACTGCAAACACTTCAGCTTATCCTTGTACTGGTTGCTACCCTGTGTCGTCGTCACGGTATGCTCGCAGTCGCCCAAGCGATCTTTGGCAAATTGCTTCCCCTTGCTCTTGCCCTTGGTCTTGCTCGTGGACTCGTTCATCTCGAGCTCTCTGACATTGACTCCGCGCTGCACCGAGGCGTAGGTCTTTTTTCACCGACGGCACTCGTCGCAATTCTTGACCACCAGCTCGTACGCCTCCAGGACGCCGTCCTCTATCACGTCGCCAAACTCGTCCGCGATCTTCTCGTACTATGCGTGTCCGGTCCTATCGTGTAGCGCGCGAGCCTTCAGCATCTCCGTCTTTGTCGGTGTAGTGGACTCCTTGCGCTGTTGCGGTATCTTCTGCCATGCCCCTGCTTCCTCGACGTCATCCTCGTCATCAGGTACAGCAGGTAGCTCGTCAGAACGTGTAGAAGTAGACGCTCGATGTGGCTTCTTGCGGGTCCTCAGCCCGCGCTCGCACTGGTCCAGCGTCATCCGGCACAGAGCGCACACCACCACCGTCGCAGCCGCGGCGGCGCCTGACTTGATCTCCTCAGACTCGGCACCCGCAGCGTCCATCATGTAGATCTCCGCGACGTCGGTGCCGTCCAACTTCAGCTTCTCGTCCGAGTCCACGTGCGCACCAAGCTCCTCAGTGACATCTGGCTCCTTCTGGGGGTCATCCTCGTCCGTCACCTTCAGCTTCTTGATGGTGTGCTTCTCCGTGAAGCCCTTCTCGTAGCGCTCGAGGGCCGCCTTGGTCGGTGCGTAGATCGTCAGCAGTTTCCGCACCTGGGTCGGGATCCCCCGACGCTTCGCCACCTGGTCCAGGCCAGACCAATCGACCATGTCCTCGAGCTTCTCGTAGTAGATGTCATCCTCGCGCTGTCCGAGCATCATCCGCCAACGGAGGTAGGGCTTCGGAGCAGGTTGAACCGCGCGCGCGTTGTACCTCACATCCGCGATGCAGTCCTCGAAGTAGGTGTAGCCCTCGTGAACAAAGAGCTGGTCATCAGGTCGCTGCCTCTTGGGATACTTCGAGCGGTAGTATTCACCCCTGCGTCCCTTAAGCTCCATCCTCTGCTTGGCTATGATCTGGTCCGCCATGAGATCCTCCGTCAGCCGGTACTCGCCGGTCTGGAGCACGTACCTCCTGTAGTCGCCAGAGCGCACGTCGTGCTTGGTGAGGCAGTCGGCGAGCATCTGCTTCGTGCTCACCCACTTGCTCACCACGTCGTTGAACTCCAGATCGTTCCTGAGCGACTCGATGTCTATCAGCAGCCGCTTCTCGGAGGGTACTGTCCCTCGCTTCTGGAGCAGGTCGTAGAGCGACTTACATTCCGTGACCTCCACCATCTTGATCGCCTTCACGTCGTCCATGTGGGTCCGGTAGCCTAGCCCGTAGTGCAGCTCCACCAGCATGTCGCCACTCTCGAACGCCTCCAGCGCCGCCATGGTCTCGGCCGCCAGGGTACTGCGCACCACCCGCTTGATGCGGTGCGATCGCCATAGCATGGGAGTGACCTTGGCCGGCCTCCCGTGAAGGAACTGATCGCCCTTGTTGTCTGCGAGCAACATGACCAGGCCCGCCTGACTCGCAGTCTTCGTCTTGCCCACGTTGCCATGGCTAGAGTCTCCAACTGCCACCACGATCGCGTCGTCCATGTTGATCTTCGTTCTGCTTGAGGAGCCGCCCGCAGCGGTGAAAGCCTGTCTTCGCCGTCTGCCACTTGCCGCAGCAGTGCATCTTCCTCAGCTTGGCCACCTGGTTAGCGAAGAACGCGGGCCAGCCCGCTACCAAATCGTCGTCCACATGCGTCCCGATCAGGCCGATCAGCTTCTCATTCTCGTCGTGGAAGATCTCGACGCCCCTGGGGGAGACAGTGTGGTGTCGCGGTGTTCCTCGTACCCAGAGGCGCATCATTCAGCCCGTAGATCCCTTTCTTCGCCCTCAGCACCGTCCCTTCTGGAACGGCTGGCCAGCCCATCTCCGGTACAGCCGGTGGGCCGCCCTTCGGCGCACGGAAGTGCACGCGTCGAGAGCTGTCGAGATACTTCCCGTTCAGGACTGCCGAGTCGACGTCGCCCTGTTCGAGCCTCCAGCCCGACTGGCTGGCTGGCCGCCTCCTGCAGGATCGCCGCCGTGGCCGTGTCCGTCAGATCGGGGGCGTTGGTCTGCAGCTCGCCCGCGAGCAGCTGCTCGTCCTTGCAGCCCGGGGCGATGTTCCGGGACTTCGCCCTGAGCGGGTGCTGCTCGTCCGACAGGTTGCCGCTCGTCGCCTCGTTCCTGCCCGTGCGAGCACGCCTCGTGGGCAGGATCGCCGTCTTGTCCACCCCCGCGAGCTCCTCCTCGGTCGGCCAATCCGCTGCGTCGTACTCGACCCACTGGCGCCACTCCTCCAGGTCGCTCGCGCCGAAAGCCGCCTTCCACTCCGATGGGATGCTGCGGATCTCCCGACTCTTCTTGGGAGTGACCTGCTCCTTCGTCGTGTCGGTCCTCCTGGCCAGAGACGCGTCCCTCTGGCGGTTCCTGATCTTGACGAGGAGTGCCTCCTGATCCATCGGGTCGTCCGGTACCTTCGGGGGGCGCATGGAGCTGCCCTTAAGAGCTTCGTAGTCGTAGACGTTCGCGATATGCCTCCTGATAGTCGGGAAGTGTTCGCTTGAAGCTGAGTCGTGGTGCAAGTTCTGGTTGCTCAGCTCGATCTGGCTGCTGTTGCTGTTGATGCGAAGTGCCTGGCGCAGCCGCCGCGCCCAGGTCCATGGAGTGCCCCCCTGCCCAGCTGCCTCAGCAGGTGGGCCTGTAGCTTGATCTGGAGGAGCTGGTCCTCCTCCTGGTTGTGGTTGTACTTCAGGTAGGTCTCCAGGTGCAGGTACATCCTCCTCTCGTGCTCCTTCTTCGGCGTCGCCTCGACCGCCGGC